GGTTTCGGGCCGCGGCGAAGTCGATCAGCCTCAAGCCGTTGTCGGACGTTTCGTCGTGGAGGCTGAATTTTCCGACGGTGGTTCCAAAGATCCGTTTCTTGCCCACCCTGGCATTGAAGTCGCCAAGCACGATTTTGATATCATGACGGGGGCAGCGCTCATACGATGCCTCATCCTTCTCTTCCGTCGGGGCATGGGCGCAGATGAGCGAGATGTTGAGGAATCTCGCTTTGATGCGGATTGTGGCTAGACGCTCGTCCACCGAGGTGAACGACAGTACTCGGCGACGGAGTCCCTCTCCCACCACAAATCCAACTCCGAATTTGCGCTCCTTTACCAGGCAGCTGTAGTAGACGTCGCAAGGCCCCAGACATTGCTGTCTTGCTGAGTCCAACGCATTTCTTGGATGGCGGTGATGTCAGCTTTTGTCCTTACGAGGACATCAACCAGCCGGGCAGAGGCACCTTCCCCATTAAGGGTGCATGCCCTCAAATCGTAGTCCTTTAAACGTTTGCAATGGTCGTCATCATAAGGGGGGTATCATCCGAAGCTTTGCCTTGCTTCTTCACTGGAAGTGGTTTTTACGTGGCGGGTCCCAAACCAGCGCACAATGGGTTGTGGTTTCGCAACCAAATACACGTTTATATAGCGAGCCGCTTGCTCCAAGCAGACACCCGCTTGCAGCCGCACCTACTGGTGAACAGACGCTGCAGACTTCAGTGAGCCCTTAAACCGAATACTTGATACTTTGATGACATTTCGAAGTAAAAAATGGCCGACGTCGAAGAGTACGATCACATTTTCCTATCTGAATACATTGCTATATTGAATATTTAAAATATGCAATGTATATGGTTGCAATGTGTCGCACCTCTGCATATACAAACAGTTTGAATACCGAAGTATAACAGTTTCCAAACATCGTATTGATACGTTTTGGAAGTCAGCCTATTTCATGGTGCAATAAAAATAAGGTGATGTCAATTGGCGGGTGTTTGTTGTAATTTTGACAAATTCGGTAGCCCCGTTCTGAATGATGACCTCTTGAACAAAAACTACACTAGAAATCTCCTTTTAGGTGCTGTGATGAAAACGTAAGGGTGAACATCACTGTCCTTGACATTTCTGTTTAGTTGGGACTTTTCCACTTAATATTTTTTGCAAAAATTGTGATTTGTGTTTATATTCAACAGCTTTTAATTTTGCGATTTTTTGGAGGTTTTCCGGACTTTGGCTACAAATTTAGGTAACCAATTTTGAGTATTTATGCCAAGTGGCAAATAAAGACTAATTATGTTTACCTTCCACAGATTTGTGAATTGTGTTTTTTATCTCAGCGAGAAGCTGCGATATAAGTGCGATTTTTGGCTGCAAGTTTCAGGTGAGTTTATTCAATTGGCCAGGTTGTTAATAAAATGGTCAGTAAAAGTGCGTTTCTTGTTTAATAGGTTTTGGAAGTTGTGCCTGTTCACCTAATAGAGGCTGCAATACAAGTGATTTACAAATAAAATTACGAAAATCCTTTTATAAATCATAAATAATCGGTCTTTAAAAATAAGAAAAAACTTACTAAGAGTAGTTGTGTTTGTTTAAAAAATTATTCAGTAGCTCGCCAGCAACAAGTACGTGAACGCAATTCCAGTAATAATTATCAAGTTTCATGAACAACTGATAAATTGGTTCTTTATTCGCAGCAAATTCCTAATAAAACAATATATTTTATATTTAAATTGGTTTATTTGGTCAATTTCAATAATAAAAACCCAAAAACAGTTTCCTTTTTAGTTTAAATTGCATCCAGCAAGTTACAAATAAAAATTTATCCATTAAAAATGCAGTAAAATCTTTGAACTTCAGGTTTCGCTCTCTCAATAAGTTTTTGCGTACGAAAACGCCAAAACATGAAAATTCGTACCAATTATTCTGGATATTACTAGATATGGGTAAACCTGACACAACTATTATTTATTATCCTTAACGTTGTTTTTGTAAAATAATTCTTTAATTCATACTTTTTTAAAGTAGTATTCAAAAGGGCGTTAAAGTGGCCTAAAATGTTCCCCTTTTTTTGCTACATTTACTTTTTACATTTTTAGGTAACTGACATCACCTTGTTTATTCCACCATGAGCCTATCTTTCCTTTTTGGTTATTGTTGTTTCCGACGAAAAATTATACTGAAGATGGCGCAACGCCAAAACCGGTTTGTCTCCAAACCAAATTTAACAAGGGATAACGGAAATTCGTTCCAAAATATTTCTAAGAATATCTATTGTTCTAAACCCTAATTCCAATCACTCCCACCTTAGGCTGTTTAAGAAGTTAAGCACTTTGTAGGGTGCCGTGTTCCATATTTTGGATAGACAAGACAAACGTTCCCCAAGGTGTATCAGTCTGCTGTTCGTGTTACGTAGGGTTTCCTCCACCACCCGACAAAAGGCTCAGGAGCGTACAAGCGCATTTGGATGCATGCTTTGAGAGACCGGAACCCACCACATAGTTACGCTATTGTGGTTCAAAGAGTTTTACAGCTACCCACAAGCCTTGATGATATTTAAGGCTGCCTGTCTATCCGGCATAATATTTATTATGGCCGAAGAAATTCGCGAACCCAGTCTTCTATTGCGAAGATTTCCGCCTGGAATATGGTTGGATATGTGCCCATTCAGAGGGTTTCTTAGGATCTTGGTCCATGTACGTCTGCCAAAGTACTCCCGTCGTTCATATTCGATCCATCGGTATACAGCGTGGTGACGAATAACTGTTACCCCGATTTTTTTGAGAAATAAAAGGTCATTTATAGATTTTGCGAAAAAAGTATTTTATTGTTAATTTTCCACAGATTTTACTTTAGTTGTATTAATTAGTTTTTAAATTTCAGTTCTTATTTACATTTGCCAGCAGTGTAAACTTTGAGAGAAAAGCTCATTTGGCACGCTCGCTACTTTTCTGATTCGTTCATGTGTTGACATTTGAAATTGCATTTGTGGATATGCTTAGCAGCCACGATTGAGAGAATACAAAGGTTGCGCCGATCTCGGACCGCTATTCCTCTCTTAACGAATTTTACAGAATCGTTGTTTGCATGACGTCACACTTGTGCAACTTGTTTACGTTTTCCTTGCAACATTTTTTCTTCTTCTTCCATTCTTGCACACGTTTTGGCATTTCTGTCTCGCAATTGCACCAGTGTGACGTCACTCAAAAGTTATTCTCAAAAATCCTCTCTGATCGGCGCAATCTTGTATTCTATCATTCTTGCTTAGCAGCTGTTTTTTTTGTATACAAAATAATGAGTGGCACAACGCAATGTGTGTAACTCCATATTTTTTTAAGTCATCAACGCACAAACGGATCAACGCAACGCTGCAGTAAATAAAATTATGTACCTTCAGCTTAAGATAAAATACACCTGAAAAAGACTTGCGTGCCAAATGAACTTTTCTCTCAAAGTTTAAACTGCTGGCAAATGTAAATAGGGATTAAAATTTAATAATTTATTAATACAACTAAAGTAAAATATGTGGAAAATTAAGAATAAAATACTTGGTTCGCAAAATCCATAAAGGACACTTTTATTTCTCAAAAAACCGGGGTAACAGTTATTCGTCGCCCCGGTGTATAGTTATGATCGCTTCAAAGCAGTCCCTTTTAGGAATTCTGACCTTGTAGAGTTTGTAGTAGGATAACTCGGGATTATCCAGGAATATCTCAAATGACCCCGAAGATCTCTACTTTTCATTCTGATCGTATTAAAGAGGCGTGGGGCGCTCCAGCAGGCCTCTTTTTCAATCAGAATAGGCAAGGAAGAAATGCCTGTAATGACATCAAGGGCATCTGTTGGACATGTACGCATAGCTCCTGTGATGGCTACGCGGACCAGTCGGTGCAGCTGCTCAAGGTGGCACCCGCGTTTACTTGCTGCATATGCAACAACGGGTTTTACTACCGTATTGAAATACCCCTGCAAAAATCGTTGGACCATGTAGTCTATTTGTGGTATATTGGAGTACTTACAAAAGTGCTCCTCTGTCATGCTGTAGCGGACCAACTCGTGTCTCTGCACCAGCTTATTGTTACCCGATCACTGCTCGTGTTTTAACGAAATGTGATTGAAGTTAAGCATTTGAAAGTACATTTGCATGTCTGGCTGTAGCTGAACGTGTAGAGATGCTAGCGTTATTTCTTAGCTCCCAGCATGTTCGGGTTCGAATGTCGTCAGAGGCAACATGTAATTTTTAATTTTTGTTTTTGGTTTTTATTCATTTCAAAAAAAGCATCTGCGAAGTGAAGAACAAAAGCGTGTACAAACAAAAAAATTTAACGACAATGTCATTGGAGTATGTTAGGAGTAGTTTTGTGCTACTCTGATGTAATGCAGAGATGGAGTATATGGTCCTGCCCTAGGACATCGCAATGTTAATTGGACCATATTTTTTATATGAATTGTGGTTAATTTTGGAGTATTCCTTGGTCCTTCGGGAGTACTCTTTACATGCATGCATGGAGTAGTCGCGATTTTTGCAGGGACCAATACATTAGATAGGGTGATGTTCCCCAGGTTCTTCGATGAAGTCTCTGACAGGCATAAAACACACTTGTAATTTTGTTGGTATCATTCGAGAGATGTGATTTCCCATTGAGCCTTTTATCCAGAGCTACCCTAGATACTTTACCTCTTCTGAGAACTCAATTTTTGTCCCTGCCAAGTAGGGTCTAATCAAGTAGACTTTCCTTCTTTTGGTAAATGGGACAATGGTGCAATTCAGTGCGTGTGTCTACAAGCCCCGTTTCAGCGCACCACTATATATTCGTGTAACCAAGGTTGCTAAAATGTTGGAGATACATATTTTCTATTTTTCGCAAATAACTATTATTGTCGCGGAACCTACCAAAATCAAATCTAGCCTTCCAAACTACCATATGGAAATATAACTACCAGTTTTGGTAGGAAAAGCTCATGTGTGGCAACGCTGGTTGCATCGATGTTTCCGATGAATCGGTCAACATCACGCATCTCTAAACACTACTATCTAGGGCAAGAATATCTAGGACATTTGCCAAAGGATATGTTTATAGTTGTTTTTCTTTTGGTAACATAATATAATCTGCAATTAAGATCCATCTTTTATAATACAATTTTAATAGAAGTTACTCAAATAAACATGGCGGTAAAAAAGGAGAGAGTTGATTACGGAGACTTAAGAAAATGCGGAGAAATAACCACACTGTTGTCAATAGAGAGAAAAGAATTTTTCTTGAACTGTGAATTCTGTGACCATTCATTTTTGCAATTGGGCGATTTTATACAACACATGTGCGAAGACCACTTGAACAGATTTGTGGAAATAAATCTGAGAAAACCAGAGACAGACTTTCTTGTTTCAGAAAGAAAACAGGATTCCGCAGAAATCGACATGAAATCGGAAGAGTATTATGAGGTAAGTAGTCCCAACTTTTAAGGAACGTAGATAAAGCAGAATTCTTTATAGGAAGATGATAGTGAACAGTTTTACAATGACTTTGAAAAAGTTGAAATAGAGTTGGACACAAGTGAAATGAGTATTCTTCCACTAGATACTGAAGCAGCAGTATCGGGTACAATATCGGACGAAGAAAGCATGGTAAGTTTAAACAATACTCGGAATTTAAAAGTAGCTGTAATCCGTCGTAGATTCCATTTTGCTACGAATCGTAAAATTAGTATGCTGAAATCCGTGTTGGTTATTTCGAAATTCGTAGGCCACTTCGAAATTCGTAATGTTGGTATTCCTGAATCCGACATAGCTGCCATTTATATGTATTTGTCGGAAATTTTGTACAAATAGCAACTATAACTAACTAACTAACTTAAAATATCAATGGGGTGGGTGGAGGCGGAGGGCGAGGGCCCCCCAAACCGCCCCCACTAGAATGAAGGCAGTCCCCGTTTTCTAAAAAGGCGTACTCCGCCCCCTTGGGCTCCTCCCACAGGCCCCTAGGGAACCGTTTGAAAAAGGGAGATAAACGAAATTTTCTTAGGCAAACTGAGCAGTTTGAAGTGGAATATGATCCAACTAACAGAAACCGTGGGATTTTTTAATAAAAGAAATTATGCCAAATTAGATATCAGGCGATTTTAAATAAAGAATAAAAAAGTTAATTAAAAATAGAAAAAACAAGTTTTTATAAAAAAAAATGTTCTTTTTAACAAATGTATTTTTGCGTAGAATAGAACAGGCAGTAGAATTCTCCTTTCTGTGTTGGCAAAGAAGGGGGGCTGAACACCTTTCTGCATAGGCGGCCTTCAGCCGCACTTAGGGATTATAACCCTCAGGCAGTAGAATTCTCCTTCCTGTGTTGCCAAAGAAGGGGGGCTGAACACCTTTTGGAGAGAACACCTTTCTGCGTAGGCGCCCTTCGGCCGCACTTAGGGATTATAACCCTCAGGCAGTAGAATTCTCCTTTCTGTTTTGCGAAGAAAAGGAGCTGAACACCTTTTGCAGAGAACACCATTGTATATTTTTAATGCTTACTGGGTTATATCCTATCTTCTTTTGTCTCTCCTGTTGTTGGACAGCTGAACTCCGCCATTTAATTTGCATATGCAACCAAAGTCATACGCCTGATTTTGAAGGTGTTTTTATTTAATGAATTTTGATTAATTTGTTAATATTAAAGTCGTAAAGCAAGTTATAACTAATCGAATAAAGTGTAACGAGAAAGGTAATACAAAAATGTATTGGTGAAGTGGCTGCTTTAGGGAGGATAGGAGTGATAAATGTACGCTAATTTCCGAATTTTACAAAAAGGGCATATTTCAAACCCAATTTGTAAATAAATTAGTGACCAAAATGTACAAAAGTAAGTGTTAAAATAATGCGTAGACCCTTACTACAAGAGTGTGGAATTTTTGGATCGGGCCACCCCTTTGGACGGAATAGCCCGAAATAGTTGTGAGCGCTACTAAACCCCACCCATATCAATAACGTAAAGTGTGCAAACGCAAAAATATGTTAGTTGAAGTGCGAATAGAAAAAAAATTATTAAATGTTTACAAATTATCAGGTTGAAGATCACAAACGAACGCTCGCAACACGAAAGCGAAAGGCCGGACATTGCTCGGGGCTTTGTAAAAGGAGCTAAAGGGGATGTGGTGGAATTTTGGGAAAGCGTTGCAAGAGTTAAAGCGGAACAATATCTAGTGAAATGGAGGCCCTTAAAAGGAGGGAGCAAACATTTTATCATTTAAGCTAAATTGATCAGAACAATCTCGAAGCAATTCCTTTGTATATTAATGCAACAGTTGGCTGCAGCATGTTCTTCCTCCTGAGACAAAAGTGCACCGGCCACTGAATCCATTACATTTTACTTAGTTAAGGAAAAGCCTTTTCAAATACGATTAAACATTTTTTTTTAATTTCACTATTCCTTTGCGATTATATTTATTTTGATTTGTTGCTGTCAAAGCTGCTGGTAAAGAACTTCGAATTTCACAATTTTAGTTGGCAACGCCGTTGATAGTCACGATCGGATTACAGCATACCAATTTTCAAATTTTCGGAACGGAGCTACGAATTCGTAACTACGAACTTTCGGATTACAGCATACGGGTGTATTTTTTTAATAACGTAGTATATATTTTACTTCAATTTTATTTTTTTAAATCTAGTATTCTTAACGGCAAACACTTTTGGGAGAAAAGCTCAAATTGAGCAACAGGTCAGATTTCTCTTTTTACAACTTTTTATTTATACATATATAACCACCTGAAATTTATAGGCGGCATACACGGTGCGTCTGACTCGTGAGTCGGTTTGGATGTGTTTGTGAAAATAAATATGTGATAGTTTCACCAACATGACTCCCGGCCAGCGTTGCCAGGTTGACGTTTTTAACGTCATTTGGACGTTTTTTGTACCCTGTTGACGTTTGGACGTTTTTTGTGTAAAAATGAGGTTTTTTAACTTCCCAGTAATTTTTCTTTGTTACTAACACCCCTATGCTGTAATCCGTCGTAGATTCGATTTTGCTACGAATCTTAAAATTGGTATGCTGTAATCCGCGTTGCCGTATCGTAATTTCGAAATTCGGAGACCATCTTCGAAATTCGTAACGTTGGTATGCCTGAATCCGACGTAGCTGTAATTTGTATGTATTTGTCGGAAATTTTCTACGAAGAGCAACTGGTGTTGGAGCGAAGCGAATTCTTTTAAAATATCAATAAAATTAAGTGTGGAAACGCAAAAATATGTATTTAAGTTGAAGTGTGAATAAAAACCAATGTATTATTAAATGTTTACAAAATTATCATGTCGACAATCACAACAAATCGCTCGCAATACGAAAAACTGGTGGAAAGCATGAGCGAAAGGCCGGACATTGCCCGAGGCTTTGTAATAGTTAAAGAGGATGTGGTGGAATTTTGGGAAAGCGTTGCAAGATTTAAAGCAACACAATATTTAGTTGAAAGGACGCCCTTAAAAAGAGGGAACATATATTTATCATTTAAGGTAAATGGATCAGAACTGTCTCGTAGCAATCTCCTTTGTATATTAATGCAACAGTTGACTGCAGCATGTTCTTCCTCCTGAGACAAAAGTGCACCGGCCACTGAATCCATTCTATTTTACTTAATTAAGGAAAAGCTTTTTCAAATACGATTAAACAATTTTTTTTAATTTCACTGTTCACTTGCGATTATATTTATTTTGACTTGTTTCTGTCAAAGCAGCTGATTAAGAACTTCGAATTTCACTATTTTAGTTGGTAACGCCGTTGATAGTTACGAACGGATTACAGCATACCAATTTTCGAATTTTCGGAACGGAGCTACGAATTCGTAACTACGAACTTTCGGATTACAGCATAGGGGTGTAAATCTTATAAGTAGAACTGATTTTGAATTATTTTCTTAATAAATCTTTACAATCTTTGTGTTTCGCTGCAGCTGCAGCTGGTTTTATTGGACTAAGGATCCCTTGCTCAAACGCTGGTTGTGTAAACACTTGAGATTACGATGCTTGCTGTAATGATGAAATTGTTAACAGGTCTATTCTGCGCTGCTAATAAAGAGTTTGTAACCGGTAAATAAAGTTCCTGTAAATTTTTAAACCCTTTTCGCATTCTGTGTACTCTTGTAACCGGTAAATTTCGTTACCATCTCATAAGCTGGTAACAAATTATTGCCCCGTAAAATATGCAATGCCAGGATTTGCACAATTCTTCATAGCTGAATTGCTGAATATTTTAACTGCATTACCAACGTACCTAGAATCGCGGTGACAAGAACTGGTAACATTTTTTGGTAATACAATTTTCCGGTTACAAAATCTTCGGTAACGTGCAGAATAGACCTGTAAATGCCAAATCAGGTAGAGCCGATATATTGCAGCAGGCACGCTCGCAAAAGCATCAAAAAAGCTGTGCAGCATAAAACGGTAAAAAAAGTAGGCGACTTTTTTAAGACTTCATTGAAAATGTACTGAACGCAAAAAATACTGAAATATTAGGTCCATTCAATAACTTTTCCAGTAAGTACTTGCAGCGAGAGCGTAAAAGAAAAATATATAGTAAAATTGAGTGCAAGACAAAATTTGCAGAAAAAGTTATTGAACGCAAAACTAGTAAAAACTTGCAACTTGAGCCATTTTGACACTTTTGACGGTTAAGTTTTGGCGCGCAATTTTCTTTTTAATTGGGAATAGTTCCCATCGTCATAAAAGTAAAAAAATATACATACAATATATTTAAATTTTTTAACCATATTTTCATTTCACTAATTATGTTTCATCAAATCATCTTAAACAGTTTGTTTACATTTGAATTTGTTATGTTACTTACTTTTGGACTACTGCAAATTCCTGCTAGTAAAATTTTTACTTGCAAGAATTTGCAGCTCTCTGGGGTTGTTACGCTCTCGAATTCGCTTCCTCTTGCAAACATTGTGGCGAATACTGCGGCAACACAAAGCGAACCACGAGAAATAGGCAGAATGTTCGAAGAATGGCGTAGAATGTTCCACAAAGAGAAACGTCAAGTTGGATGAACACTGCGAACAGCGAGAGAAAGAGAATGAGCGATAAACTTCAGAATGTTCTAGAGTTGCCATAAGTGCCAGCGTAGGTATATAAGGGCGCCGCCACCGCGGAGTTGAGTTAGTTACGAGTTACAAGTCAGCAAGCTACAAGTAAAGTGAGCGGAGAATTGAGTTGCGAATAAGCAAGCTATAAGTTTAATTGTGTTAACAAGTAGTAAAGCGTTGTTATTGCTTTAACAAGTATTGTAAAGTGTTTTTACTGTATTAGCAAGTATTGTAAATTGTTTGTTGTACAATAAAGTTAATTGTACTACAATTTGGTCATCGATTGCATTTATTTAACAATCCAGCGATACGAACCGAGAGATTTGGGAAATCCGGACGAGGTTTCAAGGATAATCGTAACAATTGGTGTCAGAAGTGGGATTGTTAAATAAATCCCGAAGGATAAACTACTGAAAATGGCGAAAATTCAGGACTTAAAGATTGAGGAACTGAAACAGGAGTTGGAAAAGCGTAATTTGGCCACCTCCGGAAGAAAAGTGGAATTATTATCCCGTTTGCGGGAAGCTATGGAAGCTGAAGGCATCGACGTGGACAAATACG